GAGGAGGTGGCGCTGTGCTCCCAGGCCACCAACGACAACATGGAGGAGGTGGCGGTGCTCCCAGGCCTCACCAACGACAACATGGAGGAGGTGGCAGTGCTCCCAGGCCTCACCAACGACAACATGGAGGAGGTGGCAGTGCTCCCAGGCCTCACCAACGACAACATGGAGGAGGTGGCAGTGCTCCCAGGCTCACCAACCCAGGCCTCACCAACGACAACATGGAGGAGGTGGCAGTGCTCCCAGGCCTCACCAACGACAACATGGAGGAGGTGGCAGTGCTCCCAGGCCTCACCAACGACAACATGGAGGAGGTGGCGGTGCTCCCAGGCCTCACCAACGACAACATGGAGGAGGTGGCAGTGCTCCCAGGCCTCACCAACGACAACATGGAGGAGGCAGTGCTCCCAGGCCTCACCAACGACAACATGGAGGAGGTGGCAGTGCTCCCAGGCCTCACCAACGACAACATGGAGGAGGTGGCGGTGCTGCCAGGCCTCACCAACGACAACATGAAGGAGGTGGGGGTGCTGCCAGGCCTCACCAACGACAACATGGAGGAGGTGGCGGCGCTGTCAGGGCCACCAATGAGGGGAAAGGGGAGGGGGGTAGAGATAGTACTCTTATATGGGGCCTGGGAGGGGGGTTGGGGGATCTATAAGGGGCCACATGATTTCTAAGGGTAGACCTAAAGATCTACTAAGGTGTCTTGATGATGGTCTGATGTCCTCTGTATATCAGTAATGTATGGGAGAACTCCGAACACTGACCCTAACCCTGACCCTGACCCTAATCCTGCTCCTAACCCTCACCCTAACCATGACCCTAACTACCTATCCTCAACCATAATCATGACCTTAACCCTGACCCTAACTATAACTCTGACCCTATAACTCTGACCCTATAACTCTGACCCTAACCCTGACCCTAACTATGACTCTGACCCTAACCCTAAAGCCCTAACCCTTACTCTAATCCTGACCCTAACATCTGAGCCTGACCCTAACCATGACTTTAATCCTGGCCCTAATATCTGAACCTGACCCTACCCTAACTATGACCCTGACCCCAATCATGATCCTAAATGCCTAACCCTAATCCTGACCCCAACATCCATGCCTGACCCTTTCCATGACTCTACTCCTAAGTCTAATATCTAAATCTGATCCAACCCCGACTGGGACCCTGACTATAACCCCCTAACCCTGATCATACCCTATTACTGACCCGAATGTCTGAACCTGATCCTACCCTATCCGTGACCCTAACCATGACCCTACTCTGATCCTAACCTTACTCATGATTTCTAACTAACCCCAACCCCCTTATCCCGACCCCAGTGTCTGATCCTGACCCTACCCTAACCGTGACCCTGACCCCAATCATGATCCTGTCTAACCATGACCGTCACTCTGCTCTGATCCTAACCCCCTATACCTGACCCGAGTGCCTGAACCTGACCGTACCCTAATCATGACCCTGACCCCAACCATGATCCTAACTGCCTAACCCCAACCCCCTAATCCTGACCCCAGTGTCTGAACTTGACCCTAACTTCCTAACCATGACCCTAATTCTACTCCTGACCCCAATCCTACCCTAACCATGACCCTATCCCTGAACCCCCTAATACCTGAACCTGACCCTACATCATGACTCTAATCACAGACCCCCCAGTGAGCTCCCCCTATCTGTCTAACGCAGCCGATGGCTGGGAAATGTCTGTGCCTTGCCCCGGGCTCCCCGCTGCTCTCGGGATGGGATGGGGGGGTGGGATAGGGAGGGATGGGGGGGTGGGATAAGGAGGGATGGGGGGGTGGGATGGGATGGGGGGGGACATATAGCGAGGAAAGGGACTCAGCATGGGAAACATAAAGCTCCCCTCCCCCTCCGGACACTCCAACAGGATCTGTAATCAGAGAGAACTCCTCACACCCTCCTCATCACTGAACGGAAGAGGGGAGAGGAAACGGGATCCTGACACCACCAGAGCGCGGGAGTTCTACTAAATGTTACTGATTACTACCCACCGAAAACCGGGGCCCCCCCCCCAACCCCTTCACAGACCATGTCCAGCCGGGGGCCCCCCCTGACCCACCACAGACCATGTCCAGCCGGGGACCCACCACCATGTCCAGCCGGGGCCCCCCCTTTATCAATGATGGACACAGAGGAGCCCGGAGTTCACCAATCACCCCAAAGTGTTATCGCAGTTATAGGTGGAGACGGCGGGCTGCGCCATCTGCTGGCTGTCTTAGGGACTTCAGGGGGTCAGATCTCCCCCCAGCCTGGGATTAAATGTCCAGCATCTTACTGCCTGCTGAACCCTCAGTGTTGGGTGGAGCGGCCCCAGGGAACACCAGGGAAATGTGGAGCCCCCATAATGCACGGCGTCATGGCTGTGAGGTCAGAGGGTGTCGCACACAAAGTCTGTCATGGTGTACGGCTGCCAGGAAGGCGGATTTCTGGCTGCACACGGCGGGGTTCTCCTTTATACACACAGAGGCCAATGAATGGTGTCACTAAAAGGGGGGGGGGGTGACCACAAATTGGGAAGTGAAAGGTTGGCGTCCCCCTCCTCCTCATTGTTCCCGGGTGGGCGGTGGAGGAAATAACCCTCCCTGGTGAGGTCAGGGCCACACTGGCAGGAAATGTCTCACTCCTTCCAGGGAAGGCCGAGGTGATGATGTCATCGCAGGACAGGACAGGAGGGGAGGGGGTTAATGACGGGACAGGAGGGAGTTAATGACAGGACAGGAGGGGGTTAATGATAGGACAGGACAGGGGGGGGTTAATGACAGGAGGGGGTTAATGACAGGAGGGGACAGGAGGGGGTTAATGACAGGAGGGGACAGGAGGGGGTTAATGACAGGAGAGGAGGGGGGTAATGACGGGAGGGGGTTAATGACGGGAGAGGAGAGGAGGGGGTTAATGACGGGAGAGGAGAGGAGGGGGTTAATGACGGGAGGGGGTTAATGACGGGAGGGGGTTAATGACGGGAGGGGGTTAATGACGGAGAGGGGGTTAATGACAGGAGGGGGTTAATGACGGGAGAGGAGAGGAGGGGGTTAATGACGGGAGAGGAGGGGGTTAATGACAGGAGAGGAGGGGGGGGGTTAATGACAGGAGAGGACGGGGGGGGGGGTTAATGACAGGAGAGGACGGGGGGGGGGGGGGGGGGGGGTTAATGATGGGACAGGACAGGAGGGGGTTAATGACGGGAGAGGACGGGGGGGGTTAATGACGGGACAGGACAGGAGGGGGTTAATGACAGGAGAGGACGGGGGGGGGGGTTAATGACAGGAGAGGACAGGGGGGGTTAATGACGGGACAGGACAGGAGGGGGTTAATGACAGGAGAGGACAGGAGGGGGGTTAATGACAGGAGAGGACAGGGGGGGGGGTTAATGACAGGAGAGGACAGGAGGGGGTTAATGACAGGAGAGGACGGGGGGGGGGGTTAATGACGGGACAGGAGGGGGTTAATGACGGGACAGGGGGGGTTAATGACAGGAGAGGACGGGGGGGGGGTTAATGACGGGAGAGGACGGGGGGGGGGGGGTTAATGACGGGGAGAGGACAGGAGGGGGTTAATGACGGGAGAGGACAGGAGGGGTTAATGACGGGACAGGACAGGAGGGGGTTAATGACGGGAGAGGACAGGGGGGGGGTTAATGACGGGACAGGACAGGAGGGGGTTAATGACGGGAGAGGACAGGAGGGGGTTAATGACGGGAGAGGACAGGGGGGGGTTAATGACGGGAGAGGACAGGGGGGGGTTAATGACGGGAGAGGAATGAGGGGGGGTTAATGACAGGAGAGAGGACAGGGGTGGGGGTTAATGACAGGACAGAGGACAGGGGGGGGGGGGGTTAATGACGGGAGAGGACAGGAGGGGGTTAATGACGGAGGGACAGGACAGGGGGGGGTTAATGACAGGAGAGGACAGAGAGAGGGACAGGGGGGGGTTAATGACAGGAGAGGACAGGGGGGGGTTAATGACAGACGGGAGGACAGGGGGGGTTAATGACAGGAGAGGACAGGAGGGGGGACAGGGGGGGGGGGTTAATGACGGGAGGACAGGGGGGGGTTAATGGAGGGGGTTAATGACAGGAGGGGGTTAATGACAGGAGGGGGGGGACAGGAGGACAGGGGGGGGTTAATGACGGGACAGGACAGGAGGGGGTTAATGACGGGAGAGGACAGGAGGGGGTTAATGACAGGAGAGGACAGGAGGGGGTTAATGACAGGGGGGGGGAGAGGACAGGAGGGGGTTAATGACAGGAGAGGACAGGAGGGGGTTATGATGACAGGAGAGGGGGACAGGAGGGGGTTAATGACGGGAGAGGACAGGAGGGGGTTAATGACGGGAGAGGACAGGAGGGGGTTAATGACGGGAGAGGACAGGAGGGGGTTAATGACGGGAGAGGACAGGAGGGGGTTAATGATGGGAGAGGACAGGAGGGGGTTAATGACAGGAGAGGACAGGAGGGGGTTAATGACCCAACACCTGCTTGCCACACCTGTCCTGCAGATTGCTTTACAGCTGTAATCCCGACCCCGCCCACCGCGCCCATCACAGGACACACCCAGCAGGCGCTCTTCTACTAAAGGGGCCCTCCTTCTAAAATCTTTCCTCTTAAAGGGGCCCTCCCCCTGAACCCCCCCCTTAAAGGGCCAGTCTCTGGGGCGTGGACTTGGTATGGGGGAGGGGCAGACAGGTTCCAGTAACAAATATGTAAAAGGGAATTCCGCCCACAATGGAGGGACGGCCTCTCACTTCCTGTTGTGTCCCTGGGACAGGAAGTGGCAGGAAATCTTCACACTGGGGGGGCTCTCCCCTCCACCCAGAACAAACATTCAGCTCTAGGTGGAGTCTATGCCGGCCTCCGGGACGGAGATTTTCCAGCACTGCGGATGATCTCTCCCAGCTGCAGCATGATGGGAGTCGGACTCCTTGCCGGGTGGGGAGGCTGACTAGAAGATGAAGAGGGTACTTACCCCAACCACTTCCTGCGGGGTCACCCTGCGCCCCTCACCCCTACTCAGCTCAGGAAACACCTCCCAAGATGGCGTCTGTTCAGAGAGGGGGAGCGCCAAACCTGCACGGGGGACACAAGACAGACAATCAGACAGATGGAGGGATGATGGAGGGAGGGAGGGATGATGGATGGATGAGGGAGGATGAAGGGAGGGATGATGGAGGGATGGATGATGGAGGGATAATGGAGGGATGATGGAGGGAGGGAGGGATGATGGGATGGATAATGGAGGGATAAGGGAGGGGATGATGGATGGATGGATGATGGAGGGAGGGATGATGGATGGATGATGGATGGATGATGATAATGGAGGATGAGGGAGGATGAAGGGGAGGGATGATGGAGGGATGGATGATGGAGGGATGGATGATGGAGGGATAATGGATGGGATGATGAGGATGGAGGGAGGGATGATGGAGGGGATGGATGATGGAGGGATGGATGATGGAGGATAATGGAGGGATGATGGATGGAGGGATGGATGATGGAGGCTATGATTGATGGATGATGGATGGATGATGGATGGATGGATGGGGATGATGGATGGAGGCATGATGGATGGATGATGGAGGGATGGATGGATGGAAGGATGGATGATGGAGGCATGATTGATGGATGGATGGATGGATGGATGGAGGGAGGGATGGAGGGATGGATGGAGGATGGAGGGAGGGAGGATGGGTGATGAGGGAGGGATGGATGGAGGGAGGATGGATGGAGGTATGATGGATGGATGGATTGATGGAGGGATGGAGATGGATGGAGGGAGGGATGGAGGGGGGAGGATGGGTGCATGAGGGAGGGATGATGGATGGAGGATGGATGGAGGTATGATGGAGGGATGATGGATGGATGGAGGATGGATGGAGGGGGGATGGATGGATGGGATGGATAGCAGTGTGGAGAGCTGTGATTGGTGGCTGTGGGGTCTCTCCGGCGGGTCCCGGGGGGGGGGGGGGGGGGGGGACTTCCTGACACAACATTCCTCACCATACACACAATGGGGAGGGGCGGGGTGTCACATCTGGAGGATTGGGGGCCACACACCAGGTCCAGCTGTGCATAGTGGACCCCTCCCTCTATGACCCCTGGAAATGTCTGGGAACACGGCCACCCTCCCCCCCCCCCCCAGATCTACAGCAGGAACTCCGCCAACATTCCCCGAGATGGAGAATCTTCCCGGAACATCCAATGACACCAATAAAGGGGAACTTCCGGAGACAGGATCTGTCAGCTGGAGAGAAGACAAGGGAGGAACCGCCCCCCCCTGTCACCCTCGCCCTGTCCCCCCCTGTCGCCCTACCTGTCCCCCCAGCCCCCAGCCTGTCACCCCTCGCCCTACCGCCCCCCAGCCTGTCACCCCTCGCCCCTACCGCCACACCCCCCCAGCCTGTAACCCCCTCGCCCTACCGCCCCCCAGCCTGTCACCCCTCGCCCTACCGCCCCCCAGCCTGTCACCCCTCGCCCTACCGCCCCCCAGCCTGTCACCCCTCGCCTACTCACCCATGCGCCCTACCGCCCCCAGCCTGTCACCCCCTACCGCCCCCCCAGCCTGTCACCCCTCGCCCTACCGCCCCCCCCAGCCTGTCACACCCTCGCCCTACCGCCCCAGCCCAGCCTGTCACCCCTCGCCCTACCTGCCCCCCCAGCCTGTCACCCCTCTCGCCCTACCGCCCCCCAGCCTGTCACCCCTCGCCCTACCCGCCCCCCTGCCTGTCACCCCCTCGCCCTACCGCCCCCCAGCCTGTCACCCCTCGCCCTACCGCCCCCAGCCTGTCACCCCTCGCCCCTAGCCGCCCCCCCCCCCCAGCCTGTCACCCCTCGCCCCTACCGCCCCCCACCGTCACCCCTCGCCCCCCAGCCTGTCACCCCTCGCCCTACCGCCCCCCAGCCTGTCACCCTCGCCCTACCGCCCCCCAGCCTGTCACCCCTCGCCCTACCGCCCCCCAGCCTGTCACCCCCTCGCCCTACTGCCCCCCAGCCTGTCACCCCTCGCCCTACCGCCCCCCCAGCCTGTCACCCCTCGCCCTACCAGCCCCCCCAGTCACCCTCGCCCTACCGCCCTACGCCCCCCCCAGCCTTGTCACCCCTCGCCCTACCTACCCCCCCAGCCTGTCACCCCTCGCCCTACTCCCCCCCCACCTCGGCCCTACCGCCCCCCAGCCTGTCACCCCTCGCCCTACCGCCCCCAGCCTGTCACCCCAGCCTCGCCCTACCCCCCCCCAGCCTGTCACCCCTCGCCCTACCGCCCCAGCCTGTCACCCCTCGCCCTAGCCTGTCACCCCCCGCCCAGCCTGTCACCCCTCGCCCTACCGCCCCCCAGCCTGTCACCCCTCGCCCTACCGCCCCCAGCCTGTCACCCCTCGCCCTACTACCCCCCCCCAGCCTGTCACCCTCGCCCTACTGCCCCCCCAGCCTGTCACCCTCGCGCCCTACCCCCCCCAGCCTGTCACCCCTCGCCCTACGCCCCCCAGCCTGTCACCCCTCGCCCTAACGCCCCCCCCTGTCACCCCTCGCCCTACCGCCCCCCAGCCTGTCACCCCTCGCCCTACCGCCCCCCAGCCTGTCACCCCTCGCCCTACCGCCCCAGCCTGTCACCCCTCGCCCTACCCCCCCCAGCCTGTCACCCCTCGCCCTAACGCCCCCCAGCCTGTCACCCCTCGCCCTACCGCCCCCCCCAGCCTGTCACCCCGCCCACCCTGTACCGCCCCCAAGTCCCCCCAGCCTGTCACCCCTCGCCCTACCGCCCCCCAGCCTGTCACCCCTCGCCCTACCCCCCCCAGCCTGTCACCCCTCGCCCTACCCCCCCCAGCCTGTCACCCCTCGCCCTACGCCCCCCAGCCTGTCACCCCTCGCCCTACGCCCCCCAGCCTGTCACCCCCGCAGCTGTCACCCCTCGCCCTACCCCCAGCCTGTCACCCCTCGCCCTACCGCCCCCAGCCTGTCACCCCTCGCCCTACCCCCCCCCAGCCTGTCACCCCTCGCCCTACCGCCCCCCAGCCTGTCACCCCTCGCCCTACGCCCCCCCCAGCCTGTCACCCCTCGCCCTACCCCCCCAGCCTGTCACCCCTCGCCCTACGCCCCCCAGCCTGTCACCCCTCGCCCTAACGCCCCCCCCAGCCTGTCACCCCTCGCCCTACGCCCCCCAGCCTGTCACCCCTCGCCCTACCGCCCCCAGCCTGTCACCCCTCGCCCTACGCCCCCCCAGCCTGTCACCCCTCGCACCCCTACCCCCCCCAGCCTGTCACCCCTCGCCCTACCCCCCCAGCCTGTCACCCCTCGCCCTACCGCCCCCAGCCTGTCACACCCCTCGCCCTACCCCCCAGCCTGTCACCCCTCGCCCTACCCCCCCAGCCTGTCACCCCTCGCCCTAACGCCCCCCCCCAGCCTGTCACCCCTCGCCCTAACGCCCCCCAGCCTGTCACCCCTCCCTACCCCCCCACCTGTACGCCCCCCCCCAGCCTGTCACCCCTCGCCCTACTACGCCCCCAGCCTGTCACCCCTCGCCCCCGCCCCCCAGCCTGTCACCCCTCGCCCTACGCCCCCCCAGCCTGTCACCCCTCGCCCTACCCCCCCCAGCCTGTCACCCCTCGCCCTACCCCCACCGAGCCTGTCACCCCTCGCCCCCCCAGCCTGTCACCCCTCGCCCCCACCCCCAGCCTGTCACCCCTCGCCCTACACGCCCCCCAGCCTGTCACCCCTCGCCCTACCCCCCCAGCCTGTCACCCCTCGCCCTACGCCCCCCAGCCTGTCACCCCTCGCCCTAACGCCCCCCAGCCTGTCACCCCTCGCCCTACCGCCCCCAGCCTGTCACCCCTCGCCCTACCCCCCAGCCTGTCACCCCTCGCCCTAACGCCCCCCAGCCTGTCACCCCTCACCCCTAACGCCCCCCAGCCTGTCACCCCTCGCCCTACGCCCCCCCAGCCTGTCACCCCTCGCCCTACGCCCCCCAGCCTGTCACCCCTCGCCCAGCCTTTGTCCTCCACCCCCCCCCCAGCCTGTCACCCCTCGCCCTACCCCCCAGCCTGTCACCCCTCGCCCTACCCCCGAGCCTGTCACACCCCTCGCCCTACCACCAGCCAGCCTGTCACCCCTCGCCCTACCCCCCAGCCTGTCACCCCTCGCCCTACCCCCCAGCCTGTCACCCCTCGCCCTACCACCAGCGAGCCTGTCACCCCCCAGCCTGTCACCCCTCGCCCTACCCCCCCCCAGCCTGTCACCCTCGCCCTACCCCCCCCAGCCTGTCACCCCTCGCCCTGTACTGACCTGTGTGGTGTCTCCTCAGTGTGGAGCTCAGGGTGAGGAGGGTGTAGATGTAGATAGAAGTCTTCTCTCCCCCCATCCTCCCCGCTCTGCCACCGACCGACTGACGCTGACTGCCCGGGGGAGGGGGCCACACCGACACTGACCGCCCGGGGGAGGAGCCACACTGACACTGACCGCCCGGGGGAGGAGCCACACTGACACTGACCGCCCCGGAGGAGGAGCCACAGCTCTGACTGACGGCCTGTGGGCGGAACTAAACTAGTACTGACTGCCAGGGGGAGGATCCACAGCTCTGACTGACGGCCTGTGGGCGGAACCACACTGGACCTGACTGCCCGGGGGAGGAGCCACAGGTCTGACTGACAGCCTGGGGGAGGAGCCACACTAGGACTGACTTTACAGGGGAGGAGTCCCAGCGTTATTTTTATTGCCTAGGGGGAGGTGCCATATCGCTCTTGTTTGCCCAGGGGTGGAGTCACACCGCAGACTGACATTCCACATGAGGAACTGAAGTTTACATGGTGGGCGGAGCATCTCAGAGCGAGTCAGGAAGCGGGGGGGGAGGAGTCTCAGGCGGGGTGGGCGGGTCTATTGTGCTTTAAGTTGCAGTGCGGTAGGCGGGAAGGCAGACATTACCTCAGAGACGGAGGAGGGGGAGGGGAGCTACGGGGGGGTCACCGGGAATACGGGAATACCGGGGGAGGGGAGCTACTGGGGGCCACCGGGAATACCGGGGGAGGGGAGCTACTGGGGGGTCACCGGGAATACCGGGGGAGGGGAGCTACGGGGGGGTCACCGGGAATACCGGGGGGGAGGGGAGCTACGGGGGGGTCACCAGGGGAATACGGGGGGTTCACCGGGAATATCGGGGGAGGGGAGCTACTGGGGGCCCGCCGGAATACCGGGGGAGGGGAGCTACTGGGGGCCACCGGGAATACCGGGGGAGGGGAGCTACGGGGGGGTCACCGGGAATATCGGGGAGGGGAGCTACGGGGGGGGGGTCACCGGGGGAGGGGAGCTACGGGGGGGGTCACCGGGAATACCGGGGGATGGGAGCTACGGGGGGGTCACCGGGAATACCGGGGGAGGGGAGACGGGGGGGTCAACCGGGGGATGGGAGCTACGGGGGTCACCGGGAATATCGGGGGAGGGGAGCTAAGGGGGGGTCACCGGGAGGGGATATCGGGGGGGTCATCGGGAATACCGGGGGGTGGGAGCTACGGGGGGGGGAGCACCGGGAATACCAGGGGACTTCCCCCGGGGGGGTCACCGGGTATTGGCCCCTGGGGGGATGGGATCCTGTTTGGGGGGGTCACCCCCTTCGGGGGAGGGGAGTCATACGTTCCTGTTTTGGGACTTCCCCTGGAGGTCAGTCTTGGGCCCCTGGGGGGAGGAGTCAGATCCTGTTTGGGGTGGAGTTCCCCCTAGGGGGGGGTCAGTAGTTGGGGCCCTGGGGGAGGAGTCAGATCCTGTTTGGGGTGTTTGGGGTCAGTATTGTTCCCCCCTGGGGGGAGGAGTCATATTTCCTGTTTTGGGTGGAGTTCCTCTTGGGGTCCCTGGGGGGAGGGGTTATACTTTTTGTTTGGGGTGGAGTTCCTCCTGGAGGGAGGGGTTATAATGCCTGTTTGGTGGGTTTGGAGTAGTTTCCCCTGGGGGGGGAGGAGTCATTTCCTTTTGGGGTGGAGTTCCCTCAGGGGTCAGTATTAGGGTCCCCTGGGGGGAGGAGTTATAGTTCCTGTTTGGGGCGGAGTTCTGGAGGAAGGGGGGTGATAAGGACAGACTCAGGGAAGAGGTCAGGTTAGGGGTGGAGTCTTTGTGGCTCAGCAGCAGCCAATCAGGTTGGAGGTGTGACTGTCCTGTGTGGGGTGACGCTGTGAATGGGCCCCTGTGTGTGGAGGGGGAGGGGGTGTACACACCTCCATTCATAACCCCCTGGAGGGCGGAGCCTCCCCTCCACCCATAAACACCCCGCCCTCCTCACCACCATCTCCATCCTGAGAGCAACCAACCCCGCCCCCTTCTGGTGCTGACTGAATCCGTCCAATCACAGAGCGGGACCCGGAGATTCACCTCCAGCCAATGATTGGTGAATGTCAGAGTTATTGCCTTACAAATGTAACCTGATATAGATAGACCCCCCGATATACACAGAGACCCCCGATACATGCAGAGACCCCCCACTATACAGAGACCCCCGATACACAGAGACCCCCCCCCGATATACACAGAGACCCCCCCCACTATACAGACCCCCAATACAGAGACCCCCGATATACATACAGAGACCCCCTCTATACAGACCCCCATATAGAGACCCCCCCACTATATACAGACCCCCCCGATACATACAGAGACCCCCCCCGATACATAGAGACCCCCCGATACATAGAGACCCCCCGATACACAGAGACCCGATATATACACAGAGACACCCCCCCTATACAGACCCCCCCCAATACACATACAGAGACCCCCCCGATACAGAGATGACCCCCCCGATACATGCACAGACACCCCACTCTATACAGACCCCCGATACATACAGAGACCCCCCTATACAGAGACCCCCCCCACTACAGAGACCCCCGTTACATACATAGAGACCCCCCCCGATACATGCAGAGACACCCCCTATATACACAGACCCCCCCATACAGAGACCCCCCCCGATACAGAGACCCCCGACTATACAGAGACCCCCCGATACATACAGAGACCCCCTCTATACAGACCCCCATATACGGAGACACCCCCCCTATACAGAGACACCCCCCACTATACAGACCCCCCGATACATACAGATACCCCCTCTATACAGACCCCCTATACAGAGACCCCCCCCGATATACAGAGACCCCCCACTATACAGACCCCCCGATACATACAGAGACACCCCACTATACAGAGACACCCCGATATATAGATACACCCCACTATACAGAGACCCCCGATACATACAGAGACCCCCTCTATACAGACCCCCATATACGGAGACACCCCCCCTATACAGAGACCCCCCCACTATACAGACCCCCGATACATACAGAGACCCCCTCTATACAGACCCCCTATACAGAGACCCCCCCGATATACAGAGACCCCCCACTATACAGACCCCCCGATACATACAGAGGACACCCCACTATACAGAGACACCCCAATACATACAGAGACACCCCGCTATATACAGAGACACCCCGATATATACAGATTCACCCCGATATATAGATACACCCCACTATACAGAGACACCCCAATATATAGATACACCCCACTATACAGAGACACCCCGATATATAGATACACCCCACTATACAGAGACACCCCAATATATACAGATACACCCCGATACATATAGACACACCCCCACTATACAGAGACACCCCGCTATATACAGAGACACCCCGATATATAGATACACCGCTATATACAGGATACACCCCCACTATACAGAGACACCCCGATACATACAGAGACACCCTGCTATATACAGAGACACCCCGATATATAGATACACCCCACTATACAGAGACACCCCGATACATAGAGACACCCGCTATATACAGAGACACCCCGATATATAGATACACCCCACTATATACAGAGACACCCCGATATATAGATACACCCCACTATACAGAGACACCCCAATATATAGATACACCCCACTATACAGAGACACCCCGATATATAGATACACCCCCACTATACAGAGACACCCCAATATATAGACACACACCCCACTATACAGAACACCCCGAAATATATAGATACATCCCACTATACAGAGACCCCCCCAATATATAGACACACCCCACTATACAGAGACACCCCGATATATAGATACACCCCACTATACAGAGACACCCAATATATAGATACACCCCACTATACAGAGACACCCCAATATATAGACACACCCCACTATACAGAGACACCCCAATATATAGATACACCCCACTATACAGACACACCCCAATATATACAGAGACACCCCGCTATAGATACTCCCCCGATATAGGCACCTCATTATAGAAACACCCCAAAATATACAGAGACACCCCGATATATAGATACACCCCCACTATACATAGACAAACCGATACATACAAAGACACCCCGATATATATACAGAGACACCCCGATATATAGACACACCCCACTATACAGAGACACCCCATATACATACAGAGACACCCCCCCTATACAGAGACACCCCGCTATAGATACTCCCCCTGATATAGACACCCCGTTATACAGAAACACCCGAAATATACAGAGACATCCTGATATATAGATACACCCCGCTTACAGATAGACCCCAGTATAGATACACCCTGATATACAGAGACACCCCAATATAGGTACACCTTGGTATATAGAGACACCCCGATATACAGATAGACCCCAGTATTTAGATACACCCTGATATACAGAGACACCCCAATATAGGTACACCTTGGTATATAGAGACACCCCGATATACAGATAGACCCCAGTATAGATACACCCTGATATACAGAGACACCCCAATAAGGTACACCTTGGTATATAGAGACACCCTGATATACAAATGTACCCCAATATGTAGATACACCCCCAATATATAGACACACCCTGATATATCCCCCCACACCCCCATCCTTGGGTACTCGGCTGTCGCAGGGAGGACACTCCCCGGTGTACTTCCTGTCCCGGAGACACACCACAGGAAATGAAGGGAAATCTGTTGTCCCCATCGGGAGATTCTCATCACTTCCTGGCTCGGTGACACCAGGAACACATACAGGGAATCTCCTAGCTGGGGAAACCAGAGAGACCAGAAGCATGGTGGGGCCCAGAAGGCATAACAGGTGGGGAGAAGGGGAGCAGAATGGGGGCCACAGGAGGGAGGAGCATGGAGAGAAAGGGCAGAACAAGGCCCCAGTGTTGGGGGGCCACAAGAAAAGAGGAGCATAAAGACAGGACAGGAGGATGGGGGGGGAGCAATAGTGGGACCCCAGGAGGGGGGAGGATGTGGGGAGCAATAGTGGGGCCCTGGGGTTGGGGGGCCCTGGGAGGGAGCAGTACAGAGAT